ACTTATAAACATCCTTAGTGCTATTCGACGTCGCAACGAGACACTTTATTTATTAGAACATTCGGCGAGAGATTACGCGCTTAACACGTATCGTAATTCAAGTTCATTTCTAATATTACAACACGAGAAACCTGACGAAAAGATCATCGTAGGGTAACTCAAATAAAAATGGGCCGGCTATGATTCATCCTGATTCATAAATGATACTCGAAAATTCGCGATCGTCCAGCCACAGAGGAGCTAAATGCACACAAACCGCTTAGTCGCTCGTCGTCCTTTTATGAATCGTAAATTTTACAGAGATATTTCTAACTCTCTCTCTGAAATCCGACTGTTTTCCGACAAAGTTTCATACGTATTCGTTAGAATTCTTGGCAAGTCGTACAATCTTTCAACGCGAATTACTGCTCCACACATATGTACGTTAATTAAATTCATATTTCAAAAAGGATTTAGAAGCAAATCAAAGGGAGACAACTTTTAATCTTTATAAGTAATATTTTACGAATATGTTTAGTGTGTATAAAATACTCGTACTTTCCTCTTACAAGATATCGAATTTGACGATGACTCTTATTCTTCGGCATCTAAATGCAACAGCTAAATTAAAGGATTCGCAAAATAACGTGTAAAAAAGTCAATTAGTAGCGAGGCTACTAATGATAATTCGCAGCCTGTAGTCGACGATAACAGCAACCGCGGTAAATAGAATGTAAGAGTCTTGGAGATAATGGTCTCGTCTTTATTGAGGGTATCTTACAACTACGGCCGGCAGTGGAAAAGTAATGGTCTGCAGATACTAACCTTCCGAATAGTTGAAATATCGGCTTGTCAGAAATTCTGGAACTAGAATTGCATTCCGCCGCTCCCTTTACCGGCTATCCTCCATTTTCTCGTAAGATTACTTAATTTATCTTTGTAAGTTCAAGTTTATACCGCCCTATGCACTGCATCCGCAGTTTATTGTATAAATCTTATTAAAACTCGAATAATATCGTTTCCGTCGTATAAATCTGATTAAAAATGGAATATTTACATCGTTTTGTCTAGCGAGACTTTCGTGCTAAAAATTTCATTGGGTTTGCTTGAAAATTTAAACTATAGCGAAAACATTTACACGTTGCGGATAAATTAGCTGCAAAAAGATCTCATCTCTCCTAGCAGAAGCGTAATTATTGAATTACACGAAATTACAAGATTACAAGAAATTGCCATCGGCAAAGAAACGCTTCGCAATAGCCGCTGAGGATATTAAAATTGGCATAACGAGCCAGTCACACACGCTCGTTAAGTGCGTATTTGTTCGTCGCACTAACGACATTAGAGTTCTTGCTCCGAAATAACCACGCTCGCCATTAGGCGGTACATTTTTCGCCAATGAAAAGTTGCAACCTCGGTCTAGAATGTCGATGACGAGAAAAACCGAGAGTTAACAGGGGTGGCAAAGGGAACGGCGGGTGAAAGAGGAAAAATGTGTCACAGGCAATCTGCACGTAACGAAGCCGGCATTAAAGACCGGTACTACCGGGGTATTGAAACATTCGTACTTCTGTACAATTTGTCCTGTTTGCACGCTCTATCGCGCTCTTTGAAGGTTCCATTTTACGGCCAACGTTGACTGTCGCTTTTCATAAATTTAATTACATCTCGACGTAAACAAAGGTTCGTCTATATAAATTCCTGGACATCAAATAAGGAAGTGCCGAAAAATTTATTTTTCATTTTTTCTATTAGATCGGCAATATCATTAAGTTCCTATCAATAGATGCATCTTTCGCGCAATATAAATTGCAATATGCATAATGATGAACCACTTGAGATTGAATCACTTGAGATAAAAGGAAGCATTCTCTTTTCTATTTTTTCTTTGAATTTCATTCTCTTTGAATAGAAATAATTTACCATTATACAATTTGGAGACTCATCTATAGTGCACTAAAAGCGATTCCATTATTGAACGAGTGGAGGATTGGGGCTTTAAAAGAAGCCTCCAACTCCACCGGATGGTAATCCTCACGCCGACGTAACGGCGAATATACGGCGAATATAATCAGTAGTGAGTTTGTTAGACCCGTAAATATCGGTATCTTCATCGCGGACTGTGGGCTGCATTCTGCTATCTCGTAATGGATTTCAGAACGGACGTTACACACGTGTTGGGTAGTGTCGTTTGTACGTACACCCCGGAAGGCATCCTCTTTCACGAATCCGCCCTCTTTTACAATCCGCTGACCCTCCCCCTCCCTTAATCTAAATGCCGACATAGACTTAATTAAACGGCCGCCCACTCTTGCATATAACTGATCGTTTCCTTAATCGGATCGTTTTTACTGTCTGCGGATGTAGGGCGACACAGAGTATGCACGTAGACTGGGAATTGAGTTAGTCGCAGCTCGAGGGACGCGTCTGATCCACGCGAGGCGATATGCACGTCTCCTTCTCATCGTCCTGCATTTATTTCAGTAGACCTGAGGGAGACAGAAGACAGGAGTGTAGTACTTGCGGTGCGGTACGCCTCACGTGACGTAAAATACGGATGCACCGAGTAGTGCATTTGTTCCGAGTTGCATCAGGGGTAAACTGTCATGATTGGCGATGCAACTCGAGACGACGGAACATACTTTACGCCGGTTTATTTGGCTTCCAGTCTTAGTGACAGTTTTGATTAATTAACAGCTAGTTGATATCATTCAGCAGTTACATTTCAACATTTCATTCTGATACATTTCAGCAGTTATGATTAATTAATACTATCGAAACTTGATAACAACTTGATTATTTGATAACAACTTGATTAATAACTGAGAGTTAAATTAATTATATAATTTGAATAATACAATTAATAATATTTGTAATGAAAGAGTATTATTAAATTTACTGCTAAGTTTAATGAAATTTACACAGTTCATATTTAATAGACGATTATCATATTCAGTTCATATTTAATAGAGGATCATTCACTTTTAATAGATGATCGCAAAAGAATTTATCACTGTAGTTTGCCTACCAAAGTTAAACCGTAATGACTCTTAGAATACGTGGAAGCACAGAAATTATCGCTCTTTGGCAGGTAGTTTCCAAAGTGCAACCCCTTTGTCAGCACTGTTATCTTAATTGTGGTAGTCGTATATGCACGGTGGAACAATGTACACACGTGGCATAGAGTGACACACAAGAAAATTGTCACTCCCAGATTCGTCGAATCGTCCGTCCAATTTCGCGAGGCGTTTAGCAAATGATCGAGGAATTCATTGAACGTGAATCCTGCAATTTCGAAGCGATTCCAACAATGGCTATTCTCTCTCTCTCTGCCTCCCCCTCCTCTCTCTCTCTCTCTCTCTCTCTCTCTCTCTCTCTCTCTCAGAGAGAG